CTAAAGGAAAATCACTGGATTTGCAAGCCAAATATCTAAATTCAAGATATTTATCTTTTGCAAAAATTCATCTGTTAAAAATTTACAATAGAATATCATTAAGGTATTTAAGGAATTTTATACAGTGTCTGGGTAAGATTAGACCAATGACATGTATTTATTCTGCTTCAATGCATTCCCCATTCATATGAAGATCACTGGGAAAGTTTATTTCTGAAAATTTTCAGCATGATGTATGGAGCACAATCAGCTTCTAGAAATCAACAGTGGAACCTGAATTATCCACAACCGTTGCCTGGTAATATCTGGATCATGACAGAAGACACTAGAAGCACTTCTCACCAACTGCCAGTTTCCACAAGGAACTCTAGCTTCTCCCATTTCTTTCACTTATTTCTCTGGTGCTGCCATATTGCTTGGAAAGAAATGAAACCAATTTTCTCCTTGGTTCTTAGGTATAAGTAAAGCAAAAAAAAAAAAAAAAGAAAGAAATCTATCCTTTATCTCCTTTCCTGGATTTTTCTCTCTAGATTAAATTCACATTCAGGGTAGAACAGACTCTACTGGCAGAAAATAGCCTCTCCCTTGGCTATCAGTCTGTCTTGGGAAAGAACAGCATCTTCACGTGAGAAATTCTGATCTACTGATCAAATCCACATTCCAAATGGATAGTGTGTTTGACAGATTAAAGAGTCCCAGTCTTAATCCAAGGAATTATGTAAAGATTCCATTGACTTAGGAAATTTTGTCTATCAGGAATATACCGATGTCTTGGAAGTGGCCAGAGCATAGAGTTAAAACAAACCTTGACAAACAGTCATGTCTGGATTTATAGGATGGCTATAGTTAGGACTCAGGTACTTACCAGATACGGAAGATGAAGAAAGGGGAATGGGGGGGAAAGGCTCAAATTTTACATTCTAAGAGCATGGAACATTAGAACCATATCCTCTTTCTGATTAATCACACCGTGATACACTAATTTCCAAAGAATCTACTTTCCCAGCTCAGTCCCCTATCCCATGGTAGTATACTTGCCAAATGCTCCTTTGTCTTCACCCACCCTCACCCCAACCAAACCTCCATGGCTGGTCAACCACATTGAGGGATGTGGGTGAGTCACCGTGGCAACAGAGCTAGTCCTGGTACAGAAGTAAACAGACAGAAATGTCAGGACAAGTTTCTCTGAGACTAATAATACTTTTACCCTGCCTTTCTTAGAAGTGTTTCCTTTGAGCAAGAAAGAGAAGCCACTGCTGTTTTGACGACAGTGGAATGTCTGAACCCTTGTTTACAAATTTCTTTTCCATTGCTTTCAGGTGACCATCAGTATAATCATCCGATTTTAAGCAGTGCTACCCAGACCCCTACACATGGTGAGAGACGATTGAGTACACTCTGCTTTTCTTTCACACTCAGGTGGCTCTATTGTACCTGCTGATGCCTGTTGGGGCATCAATGCATGAAGCTGGGAAGTACAAAGAGCCATGTGTTGACCTTCCTCCATGGCCACAATGCTTCTCTGTCACTTTCAGACCATTGTCCCTTGGTGTTTCTCTAATATCACAATGGTCTTCTGCCATGGAAGGAGACGAGCTAGAGCCTGTATTAGCCCATTTCTACTTTCAGTTTATATCACTTCTTGACTCATAAATCCCACAAGACCATGGCAAAGAGTTAATACTCTCCTTTGCCCTGTGCTACTTGTGGTATCACTTACGAATGATATGAGAGTTGGTTAAGCTATCTCCAACCTCTCCACAACCAACTAAATTTGAGAAAACTCAGAACTGATCTGGGTTTCAGCACCCTGGTGGGGGAACAGACTGTAAGTTGTAAAATTGAAGAGTGTTCACACAGTGTCAGAGGATCACAAGGCTGCGTTTCCCACTTAGGCTACAACATCCTCTCACCAGATCATAGTCAGAACTGCAGAGGGAAAACTTTTTGTTTACATTTGCTCAAAACTCAACAGAACATAAGACAGCCATGTAAACTGTGAACTATTAGTCATCCTGACTTTTTGCTGTAAGAGGGTGAAAGCATCATTAGAGTTGTAGGGGAGAGAGAAACTCAAAGTAAATTCTGAGGCTCACCCGACAGGCATCCCCGACCCCCATATCAGACTACGCTAAGGTTGGAGAAGGTGATAATTAGCAGAGGGCAACTGAATATTTTTACATGCCCTTGAATGCCGCACTCCCAGCAGCAATACAAGTACGTGATGAAGGCAACAAGTATAGTCAGATGTGTCAGGTTGTGGAGTTTCAGAAAAATTACAAATAGGAAAGGCTAATCTTAATGGTAGGAATAGAAAGGAAAGATTCAGACATTAAACACTCTGAACGGAAGATTGAGACAGCCTCATCACTAACTGAACGTGGCTTCTGTGAAGCAATTTTGAGTAAAATTTCCAGCTAAGCTAGAATAGAACAAAGGGAACCAGGTCTCAACACCATGTAAGGAATCAGAAATAGCCAGTGTGCACAGGGGATGGAGTCATTGATGGTGGGCTTAGATCTGGAAACCTAGATTTAGACAGGACTATAGGATATGCAAGAAAAACTATCCAGCAGGCAGTTAGGTATGCAAAAATGAATCGTTCGGGGATACTAGAGCTGAAGATAGAAGTTAAGCTTTTGAGGCAGTAACAGAAGCCTCAGGAGTAGAGACAATCTGTGCAAAAATGCTAAAAGAGAGAAGCAGAAGGCAGAGGCAGGGAGCCTGGGGGATGCCCATGGTGATGAAGCAGAAATAGGAAAAGGAGCCAGAAAAGGCAAATGAGAGCTCCTACATTCTGAAACAACAGCACTGATCTGACTTACTCAGAGGGAGCCAACATGTGCACATACTCCCAAACACAGGAGGAGGAACCATTCTACCCTCCGTCTCTTCTTCCTGTCTTCCCTCTTGCAGTCAGTGCAAGGAGAAGTACATGGACCCAGTCCCTGTCCTTAAGCAACTCACAGGGCCATGGGAGCAGAGTTTTCTCTACAGTCCCTTCTTGGATGTCACACATTTCCCAGGAACTAGCAGAGCGACTAATTAGAGTCTGGGTCGACTCTGATTAACCAAAAAGCATTCGTCGGAACCTTACTTTGTGCCAAGTGCAATGAAGGAATCAGGAGAAAAAAAGTGGAAAGCAATACTTCTGCTGCCAAGGAGATTGTATTCTTCAGAGATCAACAAGATCCACTCAAGTCAATTTATTGGAGAGTGGTTAGATATTAAACTGGGTGAAACAGTGTAGAAGAGCAATATGGATTAAAGAGCAGATACTGTTGTGAGCTGCAAATATGCAATATTGTTGCAGCCAACAGCCTTCAGTGAAGTTGGAATCTGATAGAGGAAATACAAAGAGGGACGTTTCAGTATGAGGCAAGGCTTAAGCAAAGGAGCAAGGATAGTCCTGATGGAGTTCAAAGGCAAGACAGAGCTGTTTTGCTCCAGGGAAGGGCAATGGTCCCCCAGAGAGAGTACACTTGGGAGAGGGTGAGCTGAGTGACACCCTCAGTGGGAGGTTGACACCAATGGGCAGAGGCAAGTGTGTTCTCTAGCATGGACCAAAGTGAAGCAACAAGAGCCGGAGAATTAGCGGTTGTTAACCAGCTCTAGGGAGCAGCACTCCCAGCTTCCTGCCCACTCCACTGCGTGGCATGTGTCCTGGTCCATGCCAGGGAGGCTCTTTCTGTACAGCATGTTCTGATCTCGCAGGGATGCAAGCATCCCCACCCCCTCACATATGTACCAAGCTGGCGGGATCAGTAGCATATTGGCTGAAATTCCCTGGCTCAATCCCCAGTATTGGGAGGGTGACAATGCAGGCAGGAAAGCGACATAGAAACCAGGAGTTCCCTGTGCTTGGGGCTGCCCTTGGATAGGGCCTAGAAGGGCTTCTGTATGCTCCAAGGCATAGAATTTCTTGCTGTGGTTTTGGCATAGTTCTCCCACAGTATCGAATTCGAATTTCCTCCTGCTCAAAATTTCTTTGGTCCTCAGATTTCCCGACCAAACAGGGTACAGAATGATGCAACCAGACAATAGCCTCCTAAACACCTCTTATCTGGGAATAACACCCTTGCTTTTGCCGGTATATACACCGGCTGACTTTCTGTTGTGGTGCCTCCCCCTCTGTCAGTCACCCATAGAATGCTTGTCTTCTGTCTTGGAACCTCTGTTCCTCTCTGCCACCTGCCCCCACCACCTCCCACCTTCACAGCCACTTACTCACCTTCCTCTCCTGTGCTATCTCTAATCTGCCCCTCCCTCCCCAGCCAGTTCACCCTGCATGGTGCCCCCATTGGTCATGTACTCACTTCCTTTTCACTTTATCCTCCATGCTTTTCTCCAGGTTTAGCATCGGTTTCTTTATGTTAGTCTCAGGGATTTATCCCAGAGGAAAGACGAAGTAAGAGTAGGGAAGATGTGCCAAGCACTTTTGTCCATATTCTTTACCCCAGTAGCTTTGGAGTTAACTAAGAGAATTAAATGGTGGTGTTCTCACAGTGGCTTGCCAGACCCCAGGCTTGGAAAGGCCCAAGGTAGAAAGAGCTATGTGAGAGGTGGAATGATATGATGGAAAGAGTGTGGGCTGGAGTTTAAGTGGGGCTGCCTGCTAAAATCAGTTCTCTCAGAGGTACATAAACAAGTTTCTACAGTTGCTCCAAACTCAGAGTTTCCTGCACCTGAGGGCTGTGTTTGTCTAAAGCTACCAGGGAAGGCACACAGAAGTGAATGATCTTAGGATATCCCTCTGCTCCATCAGGTAGACAAAGCAGCAATGCATGTGAACAAAGAATCCACTTCTTAGTCTCAGAGTTGAGTCTGCTATGCATCGAAGAGTCAGTTGCTATGTGTCCCAGCACAGAGAACCAGGAAAGCAGGATAGGGATCCTGATCAGGGATGGGGCAGAAAATGAGGAGGGGGAACTCAGGTGCTTCCCTCTTTCTGTACAGTCTTCTTTTTTCCTAATTCAATGCACCTCTCCCTTTCCTTGCAGAGAAGCCAAGAAAGAACAACATCCTGACATCGGCCACCGAGCCCTATGACCTCTCCTTCTCACGCTCCTTCCAGAACCTGGCTCATCTACCCCCATCCTATGAGTCTGCAGTGAAGACGAACCCTAGCAAGTACTCATCTCTGAAGAGACTAAGTAAGCTGAGTTTCTTCCTGGGTTGGGGTTTGTCCTCGGGAAGGGTGGGTCTCCATGAGATCCTCTTATGTCTCACTCTCCTGTTCCAAATCCATGACACTCCTAAGAACAAAGAGTTGGAAGGAAGAGTAATAAAAAATAATAATAATAAAAAGATCCTGGCTTTTGTCATATAGGGCTGAGCTCTCTCTCCCAGTAGCCAGACTGCAGAATCCTCAGGCAGCACTTCAACTCATGTGAAGAAAGTTTTCCACCAATCTGTACCTCACTTGCCTTCTTCAAACCATGGCTCTATGATTGCCTCATATCTTACACTGTAACAGAGGCTAGCAATGGCAAGAACTTTGAGGGCTCTTTCAGGGACCCATAATCAGATCCCTCACGAATCTATCCAAGACTGTTTTAAGGACCTGAGAATTTCCACATCTCACACAAACACTAGTTCATCAGTCAGGTCTAATCCATCCAGTGAGCCCAGCTCTACCACTTGGGTCTGGAGAGGCCCCGAGTACTGATAGGTTTAGGACACCAAAACCTCTTTGAGGGATAGCCCTATGTTCCTAGTTTATTGGCACTGAGATCTCCTCCCCTCATTTCCCCCATGAGTCTCTTTTGATGATTATCCATCTGCAGTTGGAGCCCCAGAGCAGAGCATTTGCTTGAAACTTTAGAGTAGCCTACCCTGGCCTGATATCAGGTGCACATAAGCCACCCCTGTGGTTGAACATCAGGTTTCTACGGTTACAGGTGGGTGATCTGAGAAATCTGACAGATGCCCCCAAAAAGAGGGAGTGCGGTTCAGGAGGCATAATATACTCATCAGGGAGCCCACTGGGCCAGCAGAAGAGTAGGCAGTTTTTTCTATACTTGGCAGAGACTCACAAGGCTTCGTTCCTGAAATCTGGGCAAGGCAGGATTGTGTGTGTTCTTGGTAAGCTGAAAGGCATGGGGGCAGTGTGAACTTGGATGAGCTGCACATGGAGACTGTTGCAGACTGCTTGTTTTGTGGGCCCAGGCAGAGTCAGTATAGCACCTGCTGCTGCTGAGGGTGTGTGGAGCCTGGGTGCCCATGTGCTGCCTTCTTGTACATTGGCTGTTGCTCCAGAGAAGGTGTTACTACGTTCCTAAGTTACCAGTGAGGCATTTTCACAAGTGCTTCCTAGTCAGAGCATCTTATTTCACTCCAGCAAGAGGCTGCTTCTGCAACTAGGCTTCCATCAAGACAGGCTTCAGACTGCATGGGAAAGCTGAACAATGTTCCCTGGGAAGCATTTTAGAGAGACATAGAGCCACTCTATGTCAGGCCCATGGTGTACCAGATCCTGCATAGGAGCAGGGCAAGGCCACGGAGTTGTGTTTGCTGTCAACTCTGCCATGAACTTACTGGGAATCTTGAAAAAGTTCTTTAGCTTCCTGTCACTGTCCGGAGCATCCCAAGACTCTAAGCTTGTAAGAGATGCAGATTCTTGCCTCCATCCACGTTTCCACCACCGTTCCTCACCCCCAAATGCCAAACATCCCACCGCCTGAATCTGGACCCACAAATAATAAGCCCCATAGAGGGGTCTGTGCATTGCACACAGGTGCATAGGTTCCACCTTCTTGAGCCTCCAAGTCCCACTCCGTAAATGACACAGGTCTACCTGTTAGCCCTCCAAAGCTTACAGGGTGTGTGTGTGTGTGTGTGTGTGTGTGTGTGTGTGTGTGTGTGTGTGTGTGTGTGTGTGTAGGGGCGTGGGGTTCTACCTGTATCTTGGCACAGTTTCACTCCAATTGTCCTTTCTCTGTCTCTTACCTACAGCCGACAAGGAGGCTGATGAGTACTACATGAGGCGGAGGCACCTGCCAGACCTGGCTGCCCGCGGCACCCTCCCACTCAATGTCATCCAGATGTCGCAACAGAAGCCGCTGCCACGGGAACGACCCCGCCGGCCAATAAGGGCCATGTCGCAGGACAGGGTCCTGTCCCCGCAACGGGGCCTGTCAGATGAGTTCGGCATGCCCTACGACCGTATTCTGTCTGATGAGCAGCTGCTCTCCACGGAGCGCCTGCACTCCCAGGACCCGCTGCTGTCCCCGGAGCGGACGGCCTTTCCCGAGCAGTCCCTGTCGCGGGCCATCTCCCACACGGACGTCTTTGTGTCCACGCCTGTGCTGGACCGCTACCGCATGACCAAGATGCACTCCCATCCCAGTGCCTCCAATAACTCCTACGCCACCCTGGGCCAGAGCCAGACAGCAGCCAAGCGCCACGCCTTTGCCTCGCGCAGACACAACACAGTGGAGCAGCTGCACTATATCCCCGGCCACCACACCTGCTACACGGCCAGCAAGACGGAAGTGACCGTGTGACTGATGGTGCAGGGCCAGGGCCACTGGGCAGGATGGGGCAGGCTGAGAGTCGAGAACCTCTCCTTCTCCCCTTCTATTAAAAGTGGACGTGGGACAGCTTTGTCCAGAAAGTCATACCTCTCCAGAGACACTGCCCTGATGGCCTGGCCTCGCATCTGGAGTGATCATGCCCCCTCTTCTCATACAGTTAGTGGCGGGTGAGCAAGGCAAGCCGCCAAGTCTCACCCAGTTCCCCTACCCCATCCCCAATCTTGACCAACTCCCTTCAGTCTCACGCTCCCTCCTCCCCCTCCTGGGGACTCAGCTGCAGGTTCTGTCAACCAAGAGACCCTTGTCTGACCCGGGGTCCACAGCTGCCTGGGTCTGCAGTGGCCAGCAGGTATGGTCAGTGGGCTGACTGAAGAGACTCTGTCTCATTCCTTTACCTAGAACCGCATCACAGAAATCTTCTAGTGCCTAAAAACTGCCTGCTTTCTCTCTCACAGCCAGAGAGCTGCTGTGTCCATAAGCACAACAATGATTCTCTTCTGCCTGCTGGAACCCTCTAGTCCCTGCTAAGTGACCCTTCCTTTGTGGACCTTTCAGGGCCCCAACATTTCCTCTCCCACACCAGCCCCCATGCTCCCTTCAAACCCTGGAAACAGGGAGAGCTTTCCCTTCCTTTCCCAGTTCCAGCTGGTTGCCCTGCCCTTTCTCCCTTGGGGCAGGGATGGGACCGTGCTCCTGCCTGTGACCAGGTTGTGTTACCCTTGAAAGCTATGGGGTTTGAGCTCTTGTCCTCCCAGAAGGGAGTAAAGATGGGATGTAGGGATATTTGGGGTGGCCTCCCCAGCTACCTGTTTCTCCTGACACTTCCTTCAGGCTTCCACATCTGAGCTCTATCCAAAACTCAGGCCCACCTTTCCCCCAACCCTGCCCCAGGAGGTACCTGTAGGGTTCCAGAGAGTCAGGGTGGGGAGGGCCATGGTGATGCCCAGGATCTCAGGAGCTCACCATTGCCATCACCCTGCACTCTGCGTGTTTCTTCCCATGAGTATCCAGGCAGGATGGAGGCAGAGGTTTCTAGAGAGAAGATGCTCTGTCCCCAAGGTGATTGCCCTGCACCTGCACGCTCCTGTCTCCCCAGCTCTGCCCACTTGCCTGGGCCCTTCTCTGCTAGAACTTAGTTCCCCTTCCTGCCTTCCCACCTCCATCCAGGGCCATACAGCTCTATTCCTCCTTCTCAGCTGCTGCTGCTGCTGCTCCAGACCCATGTCTCTTCAAGCGGTAGCTATTGGCCTGGGGCTGACTGGGCAGCTTTTCCCTTGCATCAGTCCTTCCCTGCAGTGGGAGAAGCTCACATATTCTGCAGATGATCCCTGCTCACAGAGAACTAAATGGGATCTACTTTCCCCAGCTCAGATAAGAGCCCAGGGCAAGGGACTCAGAGAAGGGGCTCCCCAATTCTCAATACCAGGGCACCCTCCTGGGGTTGGACCTGGGAAGAATCAACCCTAGACAAGTGAATTAAGGGAATCCTAATAAGGTGATGGTCATTGATCTGATGCCAACAAAGCCCTTCACTGGGATTTTACTGCCCTGGGTTCTGAATGGATGACCCTTCCAAAAGTGTGTGAGTTGGTGAGGATGGGTGGGGGACAAGTCCTCTGTGTCAGGCCTGGGTACTGTGAAATCTCACCATGTTCACAGATAACAGGGGAACCCAAGGACTGCCTTCTCTTACTGCTTTCACAAACCACAAAGCTCTCATCTCCTTCTGCCCTCCCCAACGTGAGGAAACACTTGCATGCAACACGAGGGAATGAAAATTGGAGGCCATGAACACTGCCCTGGCTTCCCCCATACCCATGCCAGAGGCGGTGACCCTGGGACTGTGGGGGTGGGAAGCCAGGGTCAGCTCCCGGCTTTCCTCCTCAGAAACACATAAACCTTCAAAAGGGCTGGTCCTCTTGGGTTTATGAGTGTTTGTCTCAGAAAGTGAGGCTCGGAGGATTGGAAAGGAGGGCATCAATCTATAGACAGCAATCTCCCCCCAACAACAAAGGTTTGTCTCACAGGCTGAGCCTGTAAGTTCAACATCTTTAAATCACTCAGCTTCTGGCCAGTTTGCACCCAGGCTGTCTGGTGGTGGGGAGGAGGAAGGATCAGAAGACACGATTGGGGACTCCCTCCCCAGATAATGACAGGTGCATAAAGCAAGCCAGAAGCCTAACCTCATCCTGCACTTGCATCTTCTGAATACCAAGTTCTCCTGCCATCCTGTTTTCCCCAGGGCTTCCTCCAACCTCCACCATGTCTCTGACAAGGTGTCTGTCTGTCTGTCTCAGGGGTTGTTTGATAGGTTGATTACAAAAGATTTCTCATGCCGGCCTTACCACTGGTTGAAAGTCTCTGACATCAGTTGGTTCAGAAAATTGTACTAGAAAGCTTACTTCTTTTAAAGCTTTTCTTATACTTTACCTTTGAGTCTATAAGGTGGGAATGGAGGGAAGGAAATGGAGAGAAATCTACAATTTTGCTCCAATTCAGTCCCCATATCAAAAGTTCAGAAAACTGTCTTTTCTGGGACATAGATAATTACTTCTATAAGAAAAGACAAAATATATGTAGGGTCTAGTACCATTTGTGATTTCCTGCATCCACTGGGGGGTCATGGAACAAATCTCCCAGTGACAGCTAGGGGGAGGGGAGATGGAGACCTATTTATTCATCCTACTCACCCACATATTTGGAACAAGATGACAAAGTAGACTCAAGAGAGAGAGAGTTCCGGGGATGGAACCCAGATGCTGCGACTTCCAGGCCACTGGCTTCTGTCATGCCAACCCTGGAACAAAGGCTCCCGCCCCTTATCAAGGGATGCTGAAGCCCAAGGTCTCTTTGTACTCCTTCTGTTTTTTATTGCATGTTTCCATTGCCCAGATAGGAAAGGACCATGATCTGCATTGGGTCTCTCCTGCCCTGACAGTTCTTCCAGTTCTCCTAGCCTGGAGTGGCCATGAACCTCCTACCATTCCTCATGCTCTCACATTTCTCCTGCCTGGCATCCTCCAGTTAACTCCTCACTCCACCCCTATGTGGTTTATCAATAGCCTATGTGGTTTATCAATGTGTCTGCCCTCAGAGCTCCCCAGTGTCTTGGGGGATAAGTTTAAGCTTCAAAAATTCCATCTTTCCCCAGAACCCAACTTTCTCCCGTAACCTCTTCTTTCCTATTTCATCCCGACAAACTCCTGTCTCAACCTCAGTTTTCAGGACCTGTCTTCTCAGCCTGTTCCCCCTTTCCTCAGTCTCGATTTCCTCCACTTCCATTGGCCTTCCAACCCTAATTTCCTCTCCCCGATCCCACTGTTCTCAATGTCAGAACTGTCAATGAAGACAGTGGATGAATGGGATCATTCTTTGGTCTTCTGGTCTTCTTCAAGGGTTTATCCTTTACACACCTGTGAGAGGACATCCCAGGGCAGGGAGCCAAAAGCTTTTCTCCATTCACCTTTGGGAGAGAAGGGAGAGGAGATGCTAGGTCAGAGATGACACAACCAAATGACCAGCTTTAGTGGCTGCAGTGGCAAGTCCCTTGTTGAAGCCCCTGACCCAGCCTGCTTTAAGCTCAGAGGCTCCTGCTCTGGCCAAAGACTCATATCCTGGGAGACTCTCGGCCTCTGCCCTCATTTGCTCCCCTCTTCCTGCTTGTGCACATCCCACATGCTTCTTTGTGTCAAAAGAGTTGGGGGCCTCACAAATCTCCCAGCACAGAGGGATATTCATCTCCATCTTCCTGCCCCTGTACTCAATCCATTTTTTTCAGAGATCCTTTGTCTTCCACTGCTAGCCTTCCATTCTCAGATTCCTTTCACAAGCAACCATGGACTTGACCTAAGGTAATATGAAAGGGCTACCAATCACTTGGACCCTAGAAGGTACCTGCTCTGAGAAGGGCTGATGCCTTACCTCCCACACACATTCCTCTGCCTGCCTCCCTGAATCTCAGACGCTGCCCCCAAGTAAGCATTTTCAAGCAAGCTTATGTGTTTTAATGAAAAATCTTTCACAGTCCAAATGTTATTTTTTTTAATAAATTCAGCATTTTAACATCATATTCAATATGAAAGATAGGCCTTACTGGGTTCATATTTAGAAGGTGGTATGCTCTGCAAGAAAAACAAAAAACCTACAAGGCCAAGGCTCTAGAGACAGGGCCTGGCTTTGTCTCCATCCTACTGTTGTGACCAAGAGTGAGTCACATTCCTGCTCAGTGCCTCAGTTTCCCTATCTATAAAATGGCCAACTTTTATTAGATGAGTTCTGAAGTTTCACCCAGCTCTTACCACTCCCCACTGGCAACCCTTTTCTTCTTTGCATTCCTCCCCACTTCAATTGATCTGCATGCATCCTACTACACCTGCCCCAGGGTAGTGTCCTCAGAAAACCCAGATGTCCACCAGACTCCTTGCGAGAGCCTAGCGTGGGCCTAATGGGTTTGGCCACCCAGGGATGCTCTCAGACCTACAGGTAAAGGACCTAACCATTCGACAGCTTGCCAATCATGTGTCATAGATGCCTTCTCCCGTAGACACACCTAAACCATACCAGGTCTCTGTGTCATGGAGGGATTCTGAGTTTGGAGCTTTCATTATTGACAAGATCCTGATAAGCTGGAGGGAGGCATTTCCAATTTCAGAGGATGGGCTGGTGGAGAACAGTTTGGAGGTTTGCCCTGGAGAGCATGAAGCTCATTTCTGAGAACAGCTGGGAAATACATCCACAGCTCAAAGAGGCGAGCTTGGCCAAGGCTCTATGTGGCAGTGGACGCTAATATGTCCTACTCTGGAATGTGTGTCCTAAAGTCTGAACACTGAAGTTCTATTTCCATTGGAGAAGGGAGAGGCATTACCACTGGGGCTACAAGGAGGTGGGCACTCACCCTATACTAGTACCTTCCAGCCCCCTCCTCATGATACTACCATCCTCCCGGTGAAGGCTTGGGGAGCAAGAATGAAGAGTCCACATCGGTATCATCACACTCATCTTGTAAATCAGTCCACACGCAAACCTTCCATCACCCATAGAAATGATGTTACATATTTCCTTTCTACTTTCCTTTCTGAGGAAGGAGAAGACCCTACTCAACTCTGCTGCCCACCCTGTAGTGATCCTTGAATGCCACTCCACGGGAGAACTCACTCATGTGCTTCATAGTGGCAAATATCCCTCTAGTTCTATAACTCAACTAGACGTTTTGTAGTAAATAATTGTTGAAATTCTCTAATAAAAAGCAAATTCTTACTGTACTATTTTTAGTTTGGGGACACAATTTCCTAGGGGGAGATTAATGAACATTTTTATGCATTAGCCCAATTTATGGATTCCGTGTTTATTATATGGTAGTACTGATGAAAAATACCTTTCTATCTGTACCTTTCCCTGGTTCCTTCATGACTCATACATAAGCTTTGTGATGAGCAGTGCTCCAGTTAACTGCTTGTTCTGTACAAATCCCATTGTTCTACTTACCGTCAAAGCACATTCTATATGTAC